TTTTAAGCTTGAGCTTGTTTTTTAGGGCCTATCAGAGTTGGGCTTTAAAATTTAATTTTTCTAAAAAATAATATTTTTTTAAACCCAAACTTTTATAAAAATAAATTTAAATAGATGACCCATTAAGTTTGATCTTTATTTTTGATTTTAGTTGGTAGTAGTACAATATTTCTATACCTGTCAAATTAATATTTTGTTCCTCTTTCGCAAGAGGAGGCAAATGATGAAAAAAACTAACCCCAAGACTTTACTGATGGTTTGTACCCTCTTCGAGGTAATTTATATATGATCCGGTATTATTATTCAAGAAAATGAATTAATATTTTGCACAAAAAAGGGGGGAAAAAGAATATCTATAAATCTTAGGACAAACAGTTTGAATGGAGATAAGCTGAATTGGCAAGGCACGTTGGGAACATTGAAGAATGATGCATTCATTTGGATGGTCAACAACAAATGAGTTTGGATTCTAGCCAAGTCAAATAAATTATTGGGTGAGATATTTTTAAAGAAAATTTATAGAAAAAAATAAAAAATTAATGTGAATAAATAAAAGCAAGCCTTAAACAGCTTCAAACATTCTCATTTTCTGGACTATAACATCACATGGGACTTGAGGAGGATTTATCCCATGATGGCGACTTGACCCTTGGGACTACAGACATTCCATTAAACTCAAGTACACGTCTCTCTCACCCTGTCTCGAAGAATCTTCCATTTTTTAAGACACAGAAAGATGAAGTGACCACTTCAAAAGTTATATATATCTTCTCATTTATTTTTTTATAAATGTAAAATTTATAACAAATTATATTATGAATAGTGTGATTCAATTCAATAATACTCAAAAAATATATAGTTTAAATGAAAAGGAAAGTATATTATGACAGAAGTACTGGACTTAAGCTTGTTTGATGTTGTTTCATGCTTTTTTACGTGGCTTTTTGTTTGTATTAAATTCGAACATTATCAGATTTAATCAAAAATAATTTTTTATATTTGAACGAACTCAAACCTGAAGCTTTGTTATTGCTTTTACAACCACAATGAGAGTTTTGCATGACTGTTTTTTAAAATAAGTATATTGGTTGAAGAAAAATTAACAAATATATATTTGATAATTTTGTTGTGATTTAATGTGTGTTTGGACAATGTCTCCAACTGAGGTTAGGGTGGTCCAAGCCTCAGTTAGAGAGTAAAGAGTCCATTACCTATTTTAAAATTTTGTTTGAAAAAAAAAAAAGACAAACAAGCGGTAGGGCCAAAATATGCGTTTTTGCAGAAGCTGAAAGGAGGAGCTTTTCAATTAGCGTGATGGATGAAACCTAGTGTGTGTTTGTATCAGTTTATAATCGATTTTTTTACTCAAAAAACCGATTTTCTGAGTTGGTATCTAAACACTTGAAAAATCATTTAATCAATTTTTTTGGTTAAAATTAATTTTTCTCAAAAGCTGGCAATTTGAGCTTATGTGAAAAATTGATCAAAAAACATTGGGTAAAATAACAAAAAAAAGATTGAAGAAAAAATTATAAGAAAGATATAACATTTAATAAAAATAAAACCAAACTCTTTTCTTTTCTCTTCTTAATTGGTAGAGGAAAACTAATTTAAATAAAATATTAATTGATAGGGTAAATTTTTATTAACCATCACCCTTTATTTAGCACTTATTATAAAATTAATTTAAATAAAATATTAATTAATAGATAAAAATTAATTTATATATTATTATTTTTATTAGTTATTGTAAAATTGATGTTTGATATTTAAAAATAAAATCTTTCTCTTTTGTTAAATTTATTTGAACTAAGATCTATTGAGTTAATTATTCATGTAAATTAAATTGTTAATATTAATATAATTTAAATTTTTATAATTAATTAGATATGTAATTTAAATAATATATTTTACTTTTTAAATAAAATATAACAACTTTAATAATATTAGATATAAATTTATCAATAATTTAATTTTGAAAGGCAATGTCCTTTATGATAATTTATATAACTAAAATTGATTCTAAATAAATTAATTTTAAAAAATAATATTTAAATAAATTAAATTATAATATAATCAATTATGATTAAAATTTATTATTTAATTAATTATTTTTATAATTTATTATACTCAATTAAAATTTAAACAGGAACCTAATATAATATTATGGGATTCTTCTCTATCCTACCGATCTTCAAAGTTTGTTTTGTCCTAGAGATGGGCTATATTCAGAGAGGCTATATCCTCTCATCTCCCCTGCCTATATTTAATTCTATAATTAATTTTCTTTACAAATATGGAATGGTTGAAACTGTTTTACTTTAAATTTTATCATTTAATTTTTTTTCTTTTTTAAAAATTAAGATTTTTGATATATCAATATATTTTATATTTATAATCTATTTTTTTAAAATTAAGATTTTTGATATGTCAATATATTTATACTTATAATCTACTTTTTGCTAGCTAAGTTTAATATTTTTCTAAAAAAATTAAATTAATCATAAAAGTATGTACAAAAAAATTTATATGTTTTTGTTATTATATATCTTAGCTGACTTTTAAATTAAATCATTTAAATAAATTTTAATTTATCTAACTGATTTTTAAAAAAAAAATATTTCAAACATAAATTATGTTAAAGTGACTAACTCTTTTCCTAACCTTAATTTGCTAAATTTAATTAATTTAACTTTAATTGTAAATTTTTTTAATTCAAACACACACTTAACTTGTTAGATTTTGAGTGCGATTTGGCCAACTATTGGCAGTGGTCAACTTTGATAAGCTATAGTTAATGATACTCAACAATAGTCAATAATAGATGAGAAATGAACATAATTTTTTATACTCTTATTTGATTTTATTTATAAATTATTTTAATATATACTATCAGAAGTTAAAAAAACTTTAAAACTTATTAACTTTATCTTAAATAAATTTAATAATTTTTTAAATTTATTCCTTTTAAATATTAATATATTTTAATAATATTTTTTTTCTAACATTCAGTAGAGGGCAGATGAAAAAATTGTCATAACTTATAAAAATTTATTGAGGTGACTTATAAATAGTATTAAAAAAATTCTCCCTCTACCTTATAAATGAAATCAGAAGGAGTAGTAATATTTTCTTGTTTCTTTATTATAAAGCTAAAAACAGAAACAAGTTTTAAAAATAAGAAAATGAACATCAAATATTCAAACAATATATTTTTTATTTTTTTTCCTTTAAGGAAACAATTTTACTAATTGTTGTCACACAGGCTATATATAATTATTACTTCTCACATGTCAATTTCATAGTCTTATCAGGATTCGAAAATATAGTTTATTTTTTATATTTTGTGTATTTAGAGATGATTGTCTATTTTTTTCCTCTTATGAGTTAAATGTTAAAAAATATAAAATATTTTTATTTTTTAAAATATAATTATTGTCTTTTTTAAAAAAAATGCTCCTGTTTAATAAATCACTTTATATTTATTTCAAGGTGAAAAACCTTATTAAATATTAATAAATATAAAAAGATAGGGTTAATTTAAAGATAAGTAACTATTTTATTAGGTGTGAAATTCGGTTTAAAAATACTTTATATTTTTTTTAACATAAGGGGTATATATGTATCATATTTATGTATTTTCCTTTACACACTCATGTTCAAATATTTAGTCTAAAAAATTAATAGTTCCTCAAATCATGTTATCGTTATTATATTGATTAGAAGGTTAAAAAAACATTAATATCTGTGTACGTAGTAGAATTTATCATTTGTTCTCTTCAGCATCCCCAAAGATACTTTCTTTGCATTTCCTACAAGAACTTATTAACTACTTCATACAAATTAAAAAAAAAATGTTAAAATTGGTCAAGTATATATAAGAAAATTATAATTTTCTAAAATCTTGCCCGTGAGATGTTTTGTATAAGGAATTATTAGTAGAAAGATAAAAAGAATTTTTTTTAAATCAATACTGGGATATACTATAGCATAACAAAAACATTAAAAAAATATTAATTAAATACTTCTTTCTTTCTTTCTCACTTTTTATCTTGGCACCCAGCAGATTTCCAAATAGTCTTGCCGCCACCGTTTGTGTTATACGTCAGCACCACTAAACAAAGTTGTATTATTTGACTAAATAGAATTAACTTGCTGGAAGACTTCTTCCTTTTCATTACGTTTCTTGTTAATTTTAACAATGTCTATTAATTTATGTATCTATAAACTATTAAATTCAATCAATCAATCTACAATGGTAGTGACCTCTCCACTTATTAGATCTCAAAAGGTGTGACATAAAAAGGGAAAAAAATACTTCTTTAAATTTATCATTGCATTAATTAACGTGCGCATGGAAATATAATATGACTAATACTTCCTTTTTTTTCCCCTGGTAATAAGTTGAATGAGTAGGCTTTGCCAATAACATATATTATCTTTTCTAATATTATCTTTTCTAAAGTTTTGAGGGCAAATAATAAACCTTTCCCAACAAAATAATTACATATACAAGGGCTATGATTCAAACTTTTAACCACTTATCTAAATTATGAAAGCCCCTATCACTCACATTAACTTTTAATTAATATTAAACACTTATATTTACTCTGTATAATATTTTGGTTAATGGCAAAAAATAAAAGATATGTTTTTTTTTCATGAAAATAATCATCAATGTGAAATATAATCGAAATTATCTTATAATTTAAAGTAAAGATAGTATACACAATTCCTCTAAGCATTTTTTGGAAAAAATTGATAGGAACCACTTGCATTAAGAAATTAATGAGACAGACGCGCAAAACAATGAGTACCCAAAATGCGGATATGTGTTGAATCGAAACGCCAAATTGAACCAAGACTAATTGTACGCACCCACTCTTTCCTCTTTTAATTAGCTTGACGAGTTGACGTGAGGAATGATATGCAAAATCTAGCAAATTAATTAATGAGACATTCTAATAATATAAAACTAGAGATAAGCATTCACAGAGAAATATGACCATTACATACAAGTAATAAAAAGATAGTGACCATCATGAGAGTCTGAGACAAAGAAAAATGAAATAAAAGATGATAAAAACGACGGCTAAGATAGTGACGCATCATGAGTGTATTCTCAGAACTTATTTACGGGGCCATACTCGATATGACAAAAGAGCTTAAGCTGGCTGGCTCACTCTCTACATCCATATAAATAGAAGCCTAAGACTTGTGGAAGTGAGCAAGTCGGTCGTGAGAAAGCTTGGAGTTGAAAGTAGAATTCTTGTACTCCAACCATGTGAACTCCTTGTACAAGCTTTCTTCTTGGTGGCTCAACAGACAAGGCAAAGGAGTTATCTTTTGATTCAATGGTGGGCCTACGAAGTATATCATTGACAATCTAGTCTTGCTTGTGTCTGGCACCACCACTCTGTGCCTCACGCTCCTAAACCTCCCATTTGTCATCGTCTGCATATATTTACACCCACATTAAACTTTTTATTATTATTATTATTATTATTATTATATAGATGTATTCTTTTATTAAAGGTAAAATCATTACTACTTCTCTTGAATTCAAATATTAATTCACTATACATATTGTGAAAGACAACTAACCTTTTTCGCTAAACATAACTGGCATTGGTAAATTAGATTTTTTGCTTAATTCCAAAATGAGGGAATAAAAAGAACACTCTTTTGATTAATTAAGCCTACTTTTTATATGTTCATACGTAGATGACTATTTTTATGTGTTGAAATTGAAGTTTAATAATTAAAAAAAAGAATAACATACCAAAACAGAATAGTGTGTCTTGTCAGCTTTACTTGATCTCAAGAGAAGTGATATTCACTGCAACTTTTTAAATTGATATTGGAAAAATAAATTAATGGAAAACAACCTTTTTACAAGCACCCGGTATTCAGAGTATTTCAAACCTTGTCTAGTCTAGATTTAATTGGGTCAGACCACAAGAATAGTGGCTCCCCCAACAAGTATTTAATGTAGCTAAATATTCCGAATTCAAAATCGAGTTCCTAACTGATTGAGCTACAATCTAATTGGTTAGTATAAAATAATTTTATGTTATGAAACACGAGAGACATGAAAATTTAAACTGATGGTTATGGTTGAAGGTGGCAAAAGTCAAATAGCTTGTTGAAGTTGAACATTACACAGCGATGCATGCAAAAGCTTGAAGCATGAAGAATGAAGAACTGGTAATCAAAAGCAAGGTACGTACCTGAAGGAGGTCACCAACATTGACGAAGAAGGAAGTACTGTCGGGTGGAACTGAAACCCAGGTCCCATCTTTCACACAGATTTGCAGACCCGACGTGTTTGATCTCAGAACAGAGATAATCTGTGGGTCCGTGTGCTCCCCGAAACCTACCAGTTTCTCTTCAATCTTCATTCCTTCAACCCCTTCACATGGCGGATAATAGTTCAGCCTGAAGTAGCAATCACTTCTCTCGTCCCTCGGAAGCTTGCTGAACACATTCCTCTGTTCTATCCCAAGCCCTTCCGCCATTACTTCCAGCACTTCACAGCTCAGCTCCTTCACTGCTGATATATATTCCTCCACTGTTCGCCTGAAAATTCAAGATTTTGTTCAGTTTTGTGTCATTTTGTTGTGTTTATTCAGGTAAAGAGAAAAAGGTGGGAGGAAGAAGAAACAGGGGAATCTGTTTTTTCTCTGTAAATTTTACCGGAAAGTTTCTGGATTTTCCCGGAAAATGGAGAGGGATTTTGGGGAGACAACTTCAGGGTTGAGGTTGAAAAGAAGATATTCTAGCCAACCGACATCGCCACTGCGGCCGATTCCCTTGTTGCCGTAGCCAAAAGGGTCTGGAGGACCGGCTCTGTCTTTTTGATGCTGAGGAAGCGCGAAGAAATTGAGAGCCCCAGTTTCGAGGTTAGAGATGAGGTCGAATGGGACGCCATGGTTGACGAGCTTGAAGAAGCCCAAGTCTTGGGAGGCTTTGACTATGAGGGTCTTTGCCTGAGGGTCAGAGAGGTCAATTTCTGGGATTTCATTGATGAAACTTGGTGTGTTCGTGGACATGCATGAGTCGGGGAGCAAGAACTGGTTCAGTGAGGAGTAGGAGAGAACCACCATGGCTGTTGCCGAAGTAAACTGAAACAAAGGAAGAAGAACAAGGCTGTGAAGATCGTTGAGAGAGAGAGAGAGTTAAGTGAGAGAAATGGATGGCGATTGGGAATGCATGAAGGGGACATAAATAGGGAGCCATATGGCTCTTATCAGTGAGGGTGTGAAAGAAATAGCATTGTTGCAGCAGAATAAAAAAAGAGAGAATATCAGAGACAATTAAAAGTTTAATAGTTATAGGAACCATTTGGATTTGAGTAGAATGAAATGGATACTTATTTAAAAAAAAAAAGAAAAAACAAAGAAAAATAAAATAAAATGGATACTATAAAGCCTAGACAAAACAAAAGTTGAGTGGTTGGAAAAAATATTATCTTGAAAAAAGCTAAAAGCCTTTCTATTTAAGCTCAACAGTCTATAAATATCCATAGTAGTTGCATACAAGAAAATCACATAAAAAAGCAAATTAAAGTACAGCTTCATCTTATTTTTAAACGTTTCCTTAATTTTTTTTATCTTTTTATTACTCTATCTATTCAAAAATGTAATTTAAAGAGTTGAATGTTAAAAAATGTAAGGCATTTTTAGTCTGTTGAAGTTTAATTATTACATTTTTTCAAAAGTGTCCTTATTAATAATGACTTTATATTTATTATAGGGTGTTTTATAGGGATAAATATAAAAAGTTAAAGTTAGTTAAAAAGTAGGTAACTACTTCATTAAAAGGCGAGATTCAATTAAAAATAATTTACTTTTTTAAACAAAAGAAGTATTATACAAATCTGTGCTATACGTAAATGTACGTGTGTATATGTAATAAATAAATTGATCAACATTAACAGATCAATATGTTAATATAAAATATAAAAATTAATAAATCTTATTATTCTTATGAGCTATCAGGACGAAAAACAAATCTCTCTCAGCTAAGTTGCCATGTAAATTAGACTTGAGATTTAAACCTTCAACCATTTATTTAGGTAACAAGAGCCTCTAGAATCTTCTTTTCATCTCAATTTAATTTTGTCAATACTTCTCATTTTAGACTCCAAAAAATGCACAAGTAGTGCTATGCGCATGGAAAGATGCGTTTAATGATAAAATATTTCATTGATTTTTTAACACTTATTATTTAAGTATTATATATAATAACTTTATAATTATATAAAATTTGATATTGAAATTTAATTAATTTGTTATAATTTTAATGTTTTAATTTGATAATTTGAAAACTAAAAAATCATAAAAAACACTTAAACTCAAGAGAATCTAAATGCTTGCTTTGGTAACCCTTAAAAATAATTTCAAATTATATTTGAGATGCATTTTTATCAAATTTAACAAATAATTAGATCATACAAATTTATTTCTGTTAGATATAAACTGAAATCTAAATGGGCACTAAATTATTTCCTACATGGCTCCAAATGCAGCTTCTCTGAATTGGAATTATCTTTCTGAATTTTATTTCTAACATTATATGAAGTAGGGAATGACCATTTTTTTAGTAAGATCATGACTAAAATAATTATTTTAAAATTATACATCAATTAGAAAACTAATGAGAAAACACTAGCATGACTTTACGTCAAGCAAATATAGTCAGGCATTCTCGGATATTGTTTAACTCGTAAATATCGTATATATGTTCAATTTGCAAAATATCCATAAAGCCACAGAGAGATAAACAGCAAAATAATTACAGCTTGTTTGATTCTTTTTTGTTTTTTGTTTTGGTTTTCATACTCTTAAAACAATTTTGTAAAATATTTTTCAGAACAACTTTTAGAAAAAAAATAAAAGAAATCCATTTAAATCATTATTTAACAAATATATCTAAATTGATGAAACAAATGGTGAAAATATAATTTATTTTATTAACATAATTATCATTAATAAAAGCATAATATTTTCTACCTTTTTTGTAGTTTTGCATGACAAAAAACAACAAAACATTTACTGGATATTTTGGTTTTTTAGTGTTGCAGAATAAGTTTTAACTTTTTTATTTTTTTATAAATATAATAGAAAAACATTTTTAAATAGATTTTTTTATTTTTCAGAACAAAAACTGTTCTGAAAGTAGCTTGCCAAACAGGCTGTTATATTTTAACTATTTACCTCTTAAAGATATTTTAATTTTAAAATATCTAAATTTCTAACTTTTTATCTAGCGAATTATACATATCGTTAACACCAATATATAAAATATAAAATTTATAATTAGCTACAGTGCTTCGTGCCTCCCAATTCGTGATTAGTACAACCGATTTTTTTTTAAAAAAATAATTCATTATAGATGCAAAAGCCCCAAATCTTAGCGAAAATTTTTTGGTTATGGTAAAAATGATGTAACTGATTTATATTTTTATACAATCTTTTACTTGTAATTACCGTAATGGAGAGTTACTTGTTTAAGTTTCAAATAATGAGATTCAAGTACTGTATTTTGTTTGGAGAAAAGGGGTATTTCATTACTAATGAAGTTACAATAAGTGATTCGTGCCCAAAAAAAAAAAAAAAGCATCACCGATCGACTACTTACACAGCAAGAATCAACCCTGATGAAATGAGAAATTCCAATAAAATGAAATTAATAGGTACTAGATTTAAATCATCCCTGACTTAAATCTTCTCTCACCTTATTACTTTTTAGTATTTTCTCTTATTTTATTACTCTTTATAAAATACAAAATTTTATTTTTCTTTCTTATAAAGGAAAACTTCACAAAATTTGCCATTCCAAATTTCAAAAGATTTAAATTCTAGGACCACATATGAGGAATTAATGAGTAATATATACCTCATTGCTGTCCATTCCAAAATAGTAATAATTTCAAATATTTTAGCGTCTTACATTTGTTTAGAAATTAATATTTCCAAAATCCGATATTTTGTTAATTAACTCTCCAGCTGCAAACAATGAAATAATAATACAGATTCTCTGTTAATTAAATATAATTAGAATTGCATGATTATGATAATCACGTTTTAACTGTTTATGGGTTAATACTTCCTTTTTTTTACCTACACTTTCCATTTTAATATGACAACGTGCAGTTTTTAATGTTCCCAATTAATCTATTTAGTTAATATATCAAAATGTTAAAATTATTTTATTATTGATTGTTATCAGGTTTTGATGTTTTTTAACTAATTTGATATTTTTATGAAATTAACTAACTAAATGAATTAGATTTGAGCATTTTTGGGCCCAGTTATAGTAGCTTTTCCAAGAATTTTTTCAACATTTACACAAACTTGAACTTGAAAACTCGTACTTAAACAGTCATAATTTATCATACTAGGATTAATGCTCATTTTTAATTTTATATATTATTTTTTATTTTAAATTATAAGACACTTTTAGATAAAATTTTACATAATAATAAACCTTGTTAAATACATTAACAATCTTATTTTTTTAAAATAAAAATATAAACATTTAAAATACTCATTATTTATTGTATTGAAAAAAGAAGGAACAGAAATTAATTATAAAGAGAGAAAGTATAATATTAAAATTTTTGCATTTAATAAAATTTTAAACTACCCAAAATATCTTATATTTTGAGATAGAGAAACTCTTTCAAATTTTATCATGAGTAAGGTTGTTTAGTGAAATTAGTATTTTATGCATATTTCAAATCAAGCTGTTAGCATCATGTGGAGAACGAGTAATGAGCTTTATCATTTATTTAATTATTCCTTATAGTATTATAAATTTTCATAAATTTTATATTTTATAAAAATATTGATATTACGCAGTATTCTTAATAATGTATCTTTTCCAAATATTATAATTTATATTAATAATTAATAACCATATTTCTGAAAGAACTAATCAGTGTGTACATAGTACGTACAGATTTGGTATCAATACGCAAAAATCATATAGATAATGCAAAATTAAAAAATTTATAACTCGCTCGCGTTCGCTCGCGTCTGAGTCTTTTCTCATTGTTTTTAGTAGTAGGTGGGATTAATCTCGTCAAAAATAGAAAATGTTATTCATAACGCAACCAAGGTTGCTATATTAGTCTGATTCTCTTTGTTATGCATAGTAACTTTCTGAAAATGCAAACAAGTACATAACATTTTTTCCTTACTTGCTTGTAATTATAATGATGACGAAATTGAAGAAAGTTGACAACAATATACAAAGAAGGAAAAAATAAACTTATAGGGTTTGTAGGTAGCTATATATATGATGAATCTTTTATGGCTTGATTGTGCTTTCGAAAATTATTTCTTGTGACTATCTAAATGTGAGGTTGCTATCACTATAATGCGTATTGCTTTAAAGTATTGAATTTTGGGTTAAGGGGAAGGTATGTACAAGATATTTCAAAGCTTGAGATCATTTATTCACTAATTTAATTAAATAACTAATATCCAAAATCCAAAGTCAGTGGTGGAGGGAAAATATAATCTTTTCCTTTCATTAAGTCCAGATTCTATAAGTTATAATGTATATATAGTGGCTTAACTTGTTTGTTATCAACTTTAAATATAATTGTTAGGTTATCCAATTATAAATGAATTTAAGCTATTTAAATGGATGTGAAAAGTCTTAAAAAGTGATATGGGCATATGCTTTGATATCACTTATTAGGGGCAAGTGCCTGAAAATGAGTGGAGAAAAAAGATGTATAAATATTAGTGAAAGGACGTCACATTTTAATTTAAAAATCTCAAGATTTGAAGTTATGAGTCATTTTACTTTATTATATATTAATTATTAAATTTAATTTTATTTAATATGGAATTTTTCACATCAGTTTAAATCTATTTATACTTGAATATCTTATGATTAAAAAAATAGTATAATATAAAATATGTATGGGATATATGGAATGTTTGTGTATATATAAAGTTAAAAAATCTTACATGTATGATATTGTCGTGACGACCGTGACGCTTGCCTGATGATAATCAATCAACTTTTTTGTGGCGTGCTTGTGCTTTGCATTATGGTCCTCCCATAATTAATTTGTAAGAAGAAATCATCGGCGCCGGAAGCGAATGTTTTTACTTTCAAGTCGAGATTTCAAGACTTAGCGTATAATATTTTT